ATACGGCTATGTTTGTTTTCAGCCAGTTGTATGATGTATAGAAATGGCTATGTCTGTCTTCAGCCAGTTGTAGGATGTATAGATATGGCTATGTCTGTCTTCAGCCAGTTGTAAGATGTACAGATACGGCTATGTTTATCTTCAGCCAGTTGTAGGATGTATAGAAATGGCTATGTTTGTCTTGAGCCAGTTGTAGGATGTATAGAAATGGCTATGCCTGTCTTCAACCAGTTGTAGGATGTATAGAAATGGCTATGTCTGTATTCAGCCAGTTGTAGGATGTATAGACGTGGCTATGTCTGCCTTGAGCCAGTTATAGAATGTATATATATATATATGGCTATGTCTGCCTTGTGCCAGTTATAGAATGTATATATATATATGGCTATGTCTGCCTTGAGCCAGTTATAAAATGTATATATATATGACTATGTCTGCCTTGAGCCAGTTATAGAATATATATATATATATATATATGGCTATGCCACTTTTGAGCCAGTTGTAGGATGTAGAGATATGGCTATGTCTAGTTGAATGAAGAGATTGTTTATTGAAAGAAACAGCTGTTTAATATATTATTTTAATGGTTTTAAAGGGAAATGTTACAATTTGTGTTTTAATCTCTGGCTTAATGTTTCCAAACATCTCATTAAGATAGAGAAAGAGTCTGTAAACTTAGTTAACTTGTTATGTGTTAAATTGCTTATTAAATGTCAAGCTACTTATGTGTTAATTTAGTTATTATGTATCAAGCTATTTATGTGTTAAGTTATCTATTATCTGTCAAATTACTTACTGTGTCAAGCTACTTATTATGTGTCAAGCTATTTATGTGTTAAGTTATCTATTATCTGTCAAATTACTTACTGTGTCAAATACTTATTATGTGTCAAGCTATTTATGTGTTAAGTTATCTATTATCTGTCAAATTACTTACTGTGTCAAGCTACTTATTATGTGTCAAGCTTTTTATGTGTTAAGTTATTTATTATGTGTCAAGCTATTTATGTGTTAAGTTATCTATTATCTGTCAAATTACTTACTGTGTTAAGTTATCTATTATCTGTCAAATTACTTACTGTGTCAAGCTACTTATTATGTGTCAAATTACTTACTGTGTCAAATACTTATTATGTGTCAAGCTATTTATGTGTTAAGTTATTTATTATGTGTCAAGCTATTTATGTGTTAAGTTATTTATTATGTGTCAAGTTACTTATGTGTAAAATTACACATTTGCTTCAAAATACGTACTCTTTGTGCCAATCTCTTTATAATTTATTAATGTATATATTACGCCCCCTATCTAGTTATTATTTCCCAGTCTACTGATTACATGTAATTCTATTTATTGTTGATTATTTCTTGTTCTATTTAAAATATGTTTTGATTTCCGTTTTTTCTAAAATCATTTCGTCTTTGAAATAGTTCTCTTCGGAACAGACGAAACGCAATCCATAAATATCTGTTTCTGGCGATGTCTACTCAGGTACTGGTTCGCCTTGTATTGTACATTGATCAGTGGATCTCTCGCGGATCGGTAAGGAACAACGGGAATGCCGCTAGAGGTCACTTCAGTATCGAAACAACAGTAAGTAAATAAAGACGTCATTAAACGTTACTTTTTTATTCGTGAATCACGTGTAGCTATAAAAACAAGTAGTTTCTTCATGTTTTATGAAGTAAGGCTTAAAGAAGCTCTCGTACCGAGTTGAGGGTCCTTGGTTCGAGCCTCTGAATGTACTCCACACTATCAGCTTTAAAGGTAACACTTAATTCGGGGCTTGAGTTATCAAGTGGAGCTCAGTTTCACAGCCGTGGTGGGGGTAGGGGGCGCCAGAGGTCTCTTATTTCGATTATTCGATGACGTCACAATGTATGTTGACAAAAAGTAACTCAAACGTAGAAGAATGACATGTCGCAAAGTAGGCCTACAATGAAGTATGTCTTGTAAGATTGTGATAACTTGTATTTAAATTTACGTATGTCCTTGAACATTCTACAACAGGAACGGCGATCCGGTTCGCTCCCCCTTCAAATCCTGGGAACAAAGTTCTTTCGGTGGAGGCTGCTTCTGATTGGTCGTCCTCCCTCTGGTTAGTTAAGATGGACATAACTTCCGTTTTTGTTACATACTATAGTTAGCATCCACCAATAACAACAAACAACGCATGATTTTTCATTTATTTGTTTTATTATGTCGTTGTTAACAAGGCTTATGGCTTCCTACCATTCGGTCTTCCATGTTTCTGGCTTTATCATAATCTTGATTTATAGTTCTATCAGTTCATGTAAGCTGTTTTACACATTTCGTTTAAAAACACCGAAATGCCCTTTAATAAATTAGTTTACTACAAATATAAAAAAATATATAATAATAAACAATATTAATCTAGATTATCAGAACTCGAAAAAAGAAAAAAAGGTTTATAACATTACATATGAGTGAGATTAGGAACATTTGACAAACAAACAGAAAATTTATGTTGCTTTGTTTTTAAATTTTAAGTCAAACTTTTAAAACAACTGACCACATTTCAAAGTGTTTAGATGTTGGAACTTTTATAAAACTTTTTTTTTCTATCTAACAGCCCGTGTTGTGTGAATCTTTCTACGTGCTCCTTGAATACACGCGAACGGCTGTTTTTACGTGGATGCTACTAGAGGGCGTTCAAATCCACGCTCACATCATTGTGGTTTTCCCGGACAACATTAAGTTCCGTGTTTACCACGCTATTGGATGGGGTAGGTTGTTATATTATTAGTGTTATCATGTTCGTTTGTTCAAAATCTTAAATCTCCCAAAGTTCTTCACC